TTCTAAACCAGTCTGCAATCAACAGCTTATATGTCCCTTCCTATCAGCTCCTATATAGGCTCCTGTCAGCTCCTATATAAGCTCAGTAAATATGGCCAGGTCTATCCCATACGTCCAGTCCCCCTGCCATCAGGGGAAATGCACCGGATTAAAAAAACAAAAACAAAATAAAACAAAAAATTAAAAAAAAAATAAAAAACCTGCAAGTTTGAAATTACGGCACTTTCTTGAGCACTACCAGATGAAGCTGACAAGCGAAGCAAGAAGCGATGCGTTTCATTTAACAAGGTAAAGATATCTCAATCGAAATAATTAATAAGTCAAAATCATTTGGGATTAAACCTACGGCGTGCTGCAAGTTGCGTTGATTTACGCTGAATTTGAAAAAGAAATAGCCCACCACACCTCATCGTGAAAATTACAGTGGAAAAACTTCACTGCCAACTCCAACAGCCGGGCGCGTCCTTAGGGAAGAGCCCAGACTCAAATCAATCATTTTGGCAATCCGATGAACCGCATTCCCCTTTTCTGACCCGACATTTCGGCAGTAACCCCATGTCCGCTCCCTGCGCACCAATGGCGAGGACAGCGCGTCTCTTAAATATAAGCAGCTTCCTGATCTCACGTGGTGTATCCCAGGCAAAGGTCTAGATGGACACACGACAGACTCAGTCGCAAGATCATGAGCCCAACAGCTGAAATATTTTTTTTTTTAATTATGGCATACCTTAAAATAAATAACAACTTCCTGGAAATTCTTGATTTTCTACAGGTAGGAATAAAAAACCCAAAGGCCGCTATGTGAGGAATGCCACCAAATTGTCATTTAAAAAAAGAAAAAATCCCAGAAGGGTTCACCTATAAAAATAACTATACCGAAGCTATTTAAAAAGCAACTTAAAATTTTACTCGACCAAATTCAGAGTAACTCTCCCTCTGACAAATTCAGGAACTGTACTGATTATGGAAGACAGAAGAGAAAACGGGGTGGACAAATAGCAGGTACCCAAATTTACCATTTATATGCTTCTACTGTAAAACTGTAATTAGGGGGTTTTTATTACTAAATGGTCAATTTGTAGTGTTAGCTTTCTTCTTCAAAAAATTCAATGATTTGAGTAATAAAGTATAAATTACTTTTCAAGCAGAAGACAACATAAATGAATCAGTTTGAAATTTTTAAACGCAGATATAACAGTCGAGGAAAGAGTCTCAGAACCATACAAAACAATTACAGAATATAAAATTGGTGACTGTACATGTCTATGTGACTCAGGAGTTCTAGTATTATTATTATTTAAAAAAAAAAAAAAAAAAAAAAAAGGGGAAAAACACCCAACTAAAAACGTGATACCTTTGTGTCCAGACCGCATTTACCCTGCTCGGAAAGCAGCAGCTAATACAACTTAAAGACAGACTATCCTGCAAACACTAAAGCACCATTAACAAGCCCAACATTTGCCTAGTAGATTGTTTAGGAAATTAAAAAAAACCCCAAACATTGGACATAAAACACAGGGATTGAAGCCCAATGGGGATTATCTGAATTTCAGAAGTGTGTTGTTTCAAAACTAGAAGGTTTACTGAAATGTCTTAGCCATAGTTTTCTCATCAAAACATTCGATTTAAGGTGGTCTTCAGTTTTAAAGATTCAAAGGTGCCTGTGAGTAGAAATACAAGACGCATTCCCACTTTAAGAGCTTAAGATATATAGACGCATATAAAGGTATTTATATACGTAGGTATCTTCATCCCCCTCCATCTGCATTTTGCTCACGCACCCTCCAAGACTACTTCTAGCACTTTAAGTGCACAAGAAACTTCAAGCCTTCTGTTCGGAAAATGAAAACTTTTGTTTTCCAAAACCACCTCGCCCCCCCAAAAAACCCAAATTGCCTTCCCCACCCCCCAAATTCCCACGTATTACAGCTTTTATTGCCCCAAGGCCCGGGGTGGCCGACATCGCATCCCAGACAAATTACAGGATTAAAGCTACGCCGTGACCCACGGGGGATCAACGGGGAGCTCCTCACCACCCTCGCCTAGAACACGCCACTCCCCAAGCAGAGGACCACAAAACACCCCTGTAATAAAACTCCCTCGAGCAAGCCGAAATGAATAGTTCTG